TCGGTGATCACCAGTGGTAGTCGGGTCTCGAGGTTTCGAACCTGGCTGAGTTCTCAACTCGAGGTTCCTCCTACCCCCTTGGCTGGCTCGACCCATCTGATCCAACCGAGCGGGACTGATTATATGGGAAATGAGAGGGAGGTCGAGCAGGGCACAGAGCCGCTTGTCGACAAGCATGGTGAAGAGCTAGGGGGCCGATGCTAGAAAACCGCCACGATCGTCGACGACGGTGGTGATGCTGCTGACAAGTCGGACGCTGAATCTTAGATTTACTTGTTTTATCTTGAGATTGTGCCCGTTATGATAATTTTACTTTGTTTTGTGGTTTGTTGCTTTGTTGTTTTTTTTGTTTGTCGTCCTAGGCCTATTTTCAAGCTTGTAAAGGTCAGGGTGACTCTGCTTGTAATGGGCTTATGAATATTATCGATCATTTTCCCCCTTTTTTTGTTCATCGCATTTTTCTGCTTTCTTGAGTTCTTAAAGTGCTATGGCTGTTTGCAATAATTAAGGTCAATTTTATTTGCTGCCGCATCTTCTCCCAACCCCTCGTGCGAGCTGGCCGAAGTCGAGCACAGATTTCAACAGCTTCACAGTTGTTGAACCAAGTTTTTCGAGTCGACTTCTCCCAACCCCTCGTGCGAGCTGGTCGAAGTCGAGCACAGATTTCAACAGCTTCATAGTTGTTGAACCAAGTTTTTTGAGTCGACTTCTCCCAACCCCTCCTGCGAGCTGGTCGATGTCGAGCACAGATTTCAACAGCTTCATAGTTGTTGAACCAAGTTTTTCGAGTCGACTTCTCCCAACCCCTCATGCGAGCTGGTCGAAGTCGAGCACAGATTTCAACAGCTTCATAGTTGTTGAACTAAGTTTTTTTGCCGCTGTTGATGATTCTATTTAGTGGGTCGTGTGATTAATTCCTATTCTATGCCGTAGTTTGGGGTACAACGTAGTTGTTTAGGTCAACTTCGTAGTCTTAGGCTTCGTAGCCCTGTCGAGATTCCGCTCGAGGCATATAACTTCATAGTTGTTTAGGTCAACTTCGTAGTCGTAGGCTTCGTAGCCCTGCCGAGATTCCGCTCGAGGCGTACAACTTCATAGTTGTTTAGGTCGACTTTGTAGTCGTAGGCTTCATAGCCTTGTCGAGATTCCACTCGAAGAATACAACTTCATAGTTGTTTAGGTCGACTTCGTAGTCGTAGGCTTCGTAGCCCTGCCGAGATTCTACTCAAGGCATACAACTTCATAGTTTTTTAGGTCGACTTCGTAGTCGTAGGCTTCGTAGCCCTGCCGAGATTCCGCTCGAGGCGTACAACTTCATAGTTGTTTAGGTCGACTTTGTAGTCGTAGGCTTCGTAGCCTTACCCATTCCACTCGAGGCATACAACTTCATAGTTGTTTAGGTCGACTTCGTAGTCGTAGGCTTCGTAGCCTTGCCAAGATTCCACTCGACGCATACAACTTCGTAGTCGTTTAGGTCGACTTTGTAGTCGACATAGTTAGTCGGCTATATAGCCGTTTCAAAAAATTCAGTTCATTCAGCAATCATAAAAAAGTCGATGCGTAAATATAGAGACATGTTAGAAGCGTAAACAAAATTTATTTCATTAATGGATATAATTTGATCGTTGCCCAGTACAAAAGGAAAACTCCAAACATTGTTTAAGCATAAAAACATTTGAGATGGATCACGTGCCAAGATCGCGGTTACTGTCGACCTTCTGCATCCTCGAGTTCATACGCACCTCTCTCAAGCACTTTTGTGACTGTGTATGGCCCTTCCCAATTAGCTTCTAGTTTCCCAACATGCTTGAGAGCGTCAGCCCGCTTTAAGACGAGGTCTCCTACTTGAAAACACCTGGTTCGGACTTTCTTGTCGAAGGCTGCACGCATCTTCTGCTTATACTCCACGGATCGCAACCAGGCTTCCTCTCGCACCTCTTCTATCATGTCGAGGGCTCCCTTTGCTAACTCTTCATTGTTCTTTTACTCATAGAATGTCGACCTATGAGATTCCAAGCCGACTTCGATGGGCAATAGAGCGTCCATTCCATAAACCATGTAGAATGGTGATTGTCCTGTTGAACTCCTCGGAGTCGTCCTATAAGCCCATAGGACCATTGTCAGCTCGTCGACCCAGGCACCAGATGCTTTTTCCAATCTCTTCTTTAGTCCCTGCAGGATGGTTCTGTTTGTCACTTCGACTTGGCCATTTGCCTGTGGGTGCGCAACTGAGGCAAATCGCTGCTTGATCCCCATGTCGACACACCACGCCTGGATCCGCTTCCCTTGGAATTGTGTTCCATTATCCGAAATCAAGATCTTTGGGATCCCGAATCGACAACAAATATTGTTGAACAGGAATTGTATCATTTTGTCCTCGGTGATTTTTGCCAAAGGCTCTGCCTCCACCCATTTACTAAAGTAGTCGACGACGACCACCATGAATTTCCTTTGCCCTGTTCCCATCGGCAATGGGCCTACCAAATCGATTCCCCATTGAGCAAAAGGGATTGGACAATTGATCGTTGTCATTGCCTCGGCTGGAATGTGGGGGATTCGACCATGGCGCTGGCATTTGTCGCATCCTTGTACCAATCGTTCGACTGCTTTTCAGATCTTGGGCCAATAATAGCCTGCTCGAAGGGCTTTGCCAGCCAGGGCTCGCTCCGCAACACCCATCATGGATCTCCCTCAAGACATGATCCCCTTCTTCTTCGGAAACGCATCGCAGGTGGGGTCCGACCATTGACTTCGTATATAAGACTCTTTCGATCTCAAAATATTTACTCAGATATCGGGCTGCTTTCTCCGCCTCCTGCTTATCTCCTTCTGGCACTCGACCTTGTAATAGCTCACGAATTGCTCTTCGCCAATCTTACTTTTCATCGACTTCCATTGTCTCACTTAGGACACTTCCTTCCAAGTGCAGTGTGGTAATATGATTTCCCATCTTTCCTTCATTTGAACTTGCGATTCTGGTGAGCCAATCGGCTCTCTTGTTCTCTTCTCGAGGCACTTGCGTTAACTCAAACCTTTCTAAGCCTTGCACTAGGTTCTGAATTTCCTCGACATATTTTATCATCCGACCCTCTTTGATTTCGCAATTTCCCAATACTTGCCCCACAACGAGCTGTGAGTCGAAATGTGCCATGATTTCCGTTGCTCCGCCACCGACTGCCAATTGAATCCCCTTAATTAGAGCTTCGTACTCTGCTTCGTTGTTCGAGGCCTTAAACCCCATTCTGATGGTGAAGTCGAGCTGTTCGCCTTCGGGGGATACTAGGACGACTCCTAGACCAGATCCCCTGGCCGCCGAGGACCCGTCAACGTGCATTATCCACTTCTTGCTTGCTCCCTTAGTCCCTTCTTGGATAAAGTCGACTAGAGCTTGGGCTTTTATGGCTCGTCGCGGTTCATACTTGATAGAATATTCACTAAGCTCGACCGCCCACTTTACGAGTCGACCCGACACAGTAGATCGACCCAAGGTCTCTCCGAGCTGGAAATTTGTCCTTACTATTATCACATGGTTCAGGAAATATGGCCTCAATTTTCTGGCCGTGATTACTAATGTTAAGGCGGCCTTCTCGACTTCGGAATATCTCGCCTCTGCGCCTTGAAGTACTCGACTTGTATAGTAGATCGGCTGCTGGGCCCCTCCAGCTTCTCGCAGTAATACAGAACTTAGGGAAAATATTCCCACCGAAATATAGAGAACTAATTCGTCGCCTGGCTCTGGCTTTGTTAACAATGGCAGCTCGCTCAAAAAATCCTTCAACTTTTCAAACGCCATTTGAGCCTTGTCATTCCACTGGAAAGATTTTTTCTTAAGTAACTTGAAGAATGGGAAACTCCTTTCCGCTGCTGGAGCTATGAACCGGCTTAGGCCTGCAATTCGACCCGTCAGGACCTGCACCTCTCTAACATTCTTTGGCGGGGCCATGTCGAGTATGGCTTGCACCTTGTCCTTATTTACTTCGATGCCTCTCTCAGTCACGATATAGCACAGGAATCGTCTTGCCCTCACTCCAAAAGCGCATTTGCTAGGGTTCAGCTTCATCCCATAAGCCCTTAGTGTTTTGAAAGCTTCTCTCAGATCTTCTACATGTGAAGTCGAGGACCTACTTTTTACCAAGATATCGTCCACATATACCTCCATATTGCGTCCAATCTGTGACTTGAACATTCGATCCATCAATCTCTGGTACGTTGCCCCTGCATTTTTAAGCCTGAAGGGCATGACGACATAACAATACGTCCCTTTACTTGTGACAAAGCTAGCTTTGCTCTGATCTTCGGGGGCCAATGGGATTTGGTGATACCCCTGGGATGCATCCATCATGCTTAGCAGCTCGCAACCAGCCGTGGAATCGACTAGCTGATCAATCCTCGAAAGAGGGTAATGGTCTTTGGGACATGCCAAGTTTAAGTCGCGGAAGCCGATACACATACGCCATTTGTTCAATGCTTTTCTCACCATTACAGTGTTGGATATCCATTCGGGGAATTGGATCTCTTTGATGTGCTTGGCTTTTAGCAACTTATCCACCTCGACCTCGATTGCTTTGTCTATCTCAGCCCCATGGTGTCTGAGTCGTTGCTTGACGGGCTTTTTGAGGGGGTCGACATTGAGCTTATGTTCCATGACCTCCGGATTGATTCCTGTTAATTCTTCTTGAGAGAAAGCAAAGATGTCTCTAAATTCCCTCAGGAATTCCACCAACTGCCCCCCTCAACTCGTCTTCCAACTCTTTCCCGACTTTGGTGGTTTGGTCTTCTCTCTCTCTGATCTGAATTTCCATCAGCTCTCCGTGTGGTTCGAGATCGCTTCCCCTCGGCCTTTTTTCATTCGATCCCAACTTCTTCCCTTCTTTTACCTCCGTTCGTTGGTTCGTCCTTACCGCTATCTGGTAACACGCCCTGGATAATTTTTGATCTCCTCGAGCTTCTCCCACCCAATCTGCGACTGGAAATTTCAACTTCATATGGTAAGTTGATACCACAGCTTGGAAAGTGTTCAGTGCTGGTCTCCCGAGGATCACGTTATAAGCCGATTCGACATCGACCACCACGAACCTTATCATCTTCACCTTTCTCAAGTCTCCTTCTCCTAAGACGACGGCAAGCGTTGTTTCTCCCAAGGGTGCGACCTCCGAGCCATTGAACCCAAAAAGAGACGTGTGCAAGGGTGCCAGTTCGATGTCAAGGTCCATCCTTTTGAGACAATCGTAAAAGATCAAATTTACTGAGCTTCCAGTATCGACGAAAACCCTTTGCACCTCGTAGCCCGACACCTGGGCGGTTATCATTAGAGCATCATTGTGAGGCCTCTCGACCTCTCCTACATCCGCTGGTCCAAAATTCATCACCGGACCCCCCTCATCGACTTGGTGTACTTCGACTTTGGCATGCTTCCCTCGGGAGTATGCTTTTCTTGCACGGTTTGAATCTCCGTCAGTCGGTCCACCAAAGATAATGTGAATTATTCCTTTTTTCAAGGGGAGCTCGTCCTTTTCTGGTGACCTTGTCCTCTTACGAGGACTCTTACTCCTTTCTTTCCTTCGACTTGTCCTTTCTCGATCTTTGTATATGAATTCTTTCAAATGGCCGGCCTTTATTAACCTCTCTATCTCGTCTTTGAGGTGCCTGCAATTGTCGGTGTTGTGTCGGTAGTCCTTGTGGAATCGACAGTATAGGTTGCTCTTAGGCCTCGTTGGCCCATCATTCCTTGTCTTGGGCCATCTTACCACATGGTCACGAATCTCCCTCTCCATAACTTCTAAGATCCTAGCTTGTGGAGCCACCAGAGGGGTGTAATGAGTCGGCCTCCAACCTCTAGGCCGTCCTTCCCTTTCTGCTCGCGGGGACCCCTTTCTCTCTCCAGTCGAGGAAACTCTCTTTTCTTTTCTCTCGTCTCGAGGGTCTAGTTTAATCGTTTTAGACGCCTGCGAGAAGTCAGCCTCTGCTTCCTCGATGTTCATGTATTTCGCACACCTCCCTAGTACCTCATCAAACATTCTGCCTGGGCGCTTAGCCAAAGAGTTCCTGCACAAGCCCGGCAGTAGCCCTTGGGTCAAGCCCCCCGCCTTTATTTCCTCTGACGCTCTGGGCACCTCGATGCAGGCCCGTGTGTATCTCGCCACATAATCTCGTAACGACTCGCCTTCTTTCTGTTGTATGCCCATCAGTGTTAAATACGACTTCTCTTGTGGCCTGACACTAGCAAATTGGTTGAGGAAACTCGAGCTGAACCCCTCGAAATCCTTGATAGCTCCGACTGGTAACTGGTGGAACAATTCCTGAGCGGAACCTCGTAAAGTTGTCAGGAAAGCTCGACATTACTGGATCGTTGTAGCGATGGAGTACCGCCATATTCTCGAAAATACTCATATGTCGAGATGGGTCGGTCGACCCGTCATAGCTTATGTTTAAATCACGAAAGCCTTGTGGTAGATCAGTGTCGAGGATATGCTGTGAAAACGGATGTCCTCTCGAGCCGCCGGTTTTTCTCCCCTCGACCTGGGCTTGCAAATCACGCACTTGGGCCAGCAATTGCTCCAGCGTTTCATCTCTCGCTTGCGGGTTAATGGTCCTGATAGAGGAAGCCTCCTCTTCTGCCCTCCTATTCTGTCTCTCGTTGGACTAGGCCAGTTGTTCGCGTTCGATGTTTGGTTGTTCGATCCTTAGTGGCTCGACCCTAGGTTGTTCGGGCTGAGCTTGCTTGAGCTGAGCTGCCACTGCTTCCGCTATCATCCTTTGCATCTCATCTCTCGTCATTGTTACTGTTTGCTCCTCGACCCGAGATGGGACGAGCGTTTGTTCTGGCCCTTCCTGGATTTGCTTTCCCGCGCGTCGAGACATCTCCGTTGGCTCTCCTCCGCCCGTATTGGGATTTTGGCTTGCTCCTGCTAAGGTCAGCACCGGCACCTTCACTCCGGGCGGAGTAATAGGCATTTCTCCACCCAGAATCACTCCTGGGGGTGGAGGTCCTCCAAACGGTGGCATCTCCAGTGCCTGCATCATCGGGGGTCTGGGGGCAGAGAGAGAGGGCGGTCTCCTTTCTGTCCAGGTTCCCCTAAACTCCTCGTTCAAATTCCTCTGTAAACCTTCCTTCTCAGCTATCGGCGACAGATCGGAGCTAGGTGCGAAGCTCTTAATTCCTTCAAGAACTCCCCACAGACGGCGCCAAAATGATGGGTCTCTTCCCAGATCTGGAGCGAACTGATGAGAATGGGCTCAAATCTGGAGCAAACCGGTGAGGATGAGCTCAGACCCGACTTGATGGCTTTTAAACTGCTACCGGACTGCGAGAACACCTGCAAGAACTCAACGCCGGAGGGATTTCCGGCGTAGAGCCTTCGACGCTCAAGTCAGTATGTGAAAAGAATGAAAAGAGCTGCTCTGAGGAAGCAGCAGCAATGGAGGAGAATGTGGAATGAATGGGAGTTAGGGTTTAGGGCTACCTCTTCTCCTTTATATAGGAGGGAGAATTTACCTGAGATGCCTAAAATGCCCCAAGTCGGTGGTCCTGAAAAGTCCAAATTGCCCTGGTCGATTCATCTCCCCTCCCTGCTGAGTCATCCCCAGATTCCTTCTTATCTATAGGTGGACAAGGGGTTCTAATGAATACGCCGTGTATGAAGTCGACTGCATGTTTTATGTGTCGAGATATGGAACGTCGACCTCGAGTACCCCTTTAACCACTCATGTTCCTACTGTTCAGGGGTCGTCCCCATAGGTTCTTGATTATACGTCGACTTCTAGGAAGGTCGACCGACTCAAGTCGACCTTTAGAAGTTGACCTATGTCGACTTCTCGAATATCCGATACTCTGCTTTACGGCCGGGTCGACTTTGAACGAAGTCGACCCAAGCACCTTCTCGTCCCGAGTCGATGCGCGGGAGGAGCTGATAACCTTCGAATCGAGGAGAGAGAGCCTTTGGATCGGTATATCTTTATAGGGCTATATCATCTAGTCCCCCCCATAAATTACTCTAAGCACCACATGGATTTTTCGGAAGATAAATTTCATTTTCGGAAGCACCACATGAATTTTTCAAAACATAACCCGCGCAGCAATTTTGAAATCGACACCACTTGTTGCACATAAATTATATTAACCTGATTCCCATTGCATATGAATCTTAAGACATACCTCTACAATTCTTATGAAGACATCGAGAACAATTAAAGTCGTCTACTAGGGGATTATTCATCAAACATTATAAAACCGAGTTGCAGACCACAATTTAAATTCTACAACTGACAGGACCTCAGTATTTGCTAGATAACTGGAGCTACAGACATGCTTTTAATGAGATTCAAAAACCACAAAGAAGATAACTCAATTATATAAATTTTCTGAAAACAATATTGACAAATAATGATGTTATCATTGAGTTTAAACATAAAATAGTCGGTTCATGAAATATGTCAAAAACAAAATCATGTTACAAACAACACTTCAGTAATTAGACTCTAATTCATGCTACATATCTCATATCAACATGAATCTTACCTCATTAAAAAGCTAAAAAATAGACCTAGAACTTTTATGAAGATCACAACCTCATTTGACAACATTAAGACACACCAAGCAGGTCAAACATTTAGTAAGAACATGCTGTCGGGTTCACAGAAAACTGTTCACACAATATTCTTGTAAAAATCATATCTCCTTCGATATAATCGTATTTTCAAAATTCTAAAGCCCACAGAAAGCTAACAGGATAAGCTATAATTCATATGAAGAACACATTTTACAGAAAACAAGTTCTAAAAGGCTAAAACAGAGGCAAAACGGAGTCAATAAAATCGTGATTAATCCATATAAAGTTCAATTTGCATGATAAACTTTAAAAATCTATATTCTGAGTTATACTAGGTCAATTGACTTTATTCTTAATCCTTTAAACTCCACTTTAACACAAAAAATAACTATAGGAAGTATACCTTCCCAGGTTTTTCATAGCATAGGCAAAATTTGCAAGTTCAGAGCACTTATGAAACATGCATTTGAGTTGGGAGCCACTTATCACTCTGCATGGTTAAAATTACTCAAGAACTGAACATATAAGGCATTTAAGCACATCATTCAACACCTAATATCATCTATAACATGTTCTAAGAAGTATGGCTTGCTAACTTATCGGAATTTCCAAGAAAAACACAAAAAAAGATTGAATTTGCTCGGTGTTGTTTCTCCTTGTTTGAACTCGGGTAGCTCCAGCCTTCTTGCTTCCTTTATTGAACTTGGGGCTTCAAAACCCTTCTAGGATGAGAGGACGATGAGGTAAAAAAGATATTATGTTGTTGTTGTGAAGGATTGATGCTTAGAATTCAAGAACAACCTCAAACAATGCACTCGGGTGAGCTGTTTTTCTTTTCGACATTAGCTTATAGCTCTCGGTTTGATGGTTTATATGAGGAACTTTGCTTGAATTTCACTAAGTATAAAGTGAGCTTTCTTGTGGCTGAACATATAGCTTATGTAGAGTTAAAGGGGCGGATGATACTAGGCAAGAAGTGGGTGACATGGACAAAAGTGGAGGACCTCTTCTCTATGCACATATGGTCTTAGGGCATGAATTTAGCATGGGTTTTAGTGGATTTTTCAGAGCACTAGGAAGGATGACATGGTCTGGTACCAACACCAAGGTAATGGGGAGACAAAGTCTTACACTTTGTGTTAAAATAATGCATTGACACATGCACCACTTAAGGCTAATGATATATGACTTCTCTTAATCAAACTTAAGGCTCACTTCAGCTTAAATTAGTACTTTAAAAATGGATATGATATGAATTTCGGGTCACAACGATTCGATTAAAATGGATATAATTTCGGCTTACGCGATTAAACTGAAAATTTAAACGATGATCGGTAAAATAAATCGAACAACTCATAGGATTATTTTTTTCATTCAATAATATAATACGTAGCCACATCATCAACGCATTTTGAAAAAAAAAACCAAATAAAATAAAATGCCATTATTCAAAATTAAATCAGAAAAATCTAATATTCGAACGGGGCACTACAAGTGAAAAACTAACTCACAGTAGATCCCGTTCTTTTTTAGTCTACTATTTTACAACAAGCCTTGCATTAAAGCCTTTGCTTAGAGATTTCTTCCAATAGCCTCTATGCCACTTGGTGGCCACAGAGTCCTTCAAGTATTGGTGGTGGAATGTATGCTCTGTTGATAAAAAGCCATCTCTGAGGATATAATAGTCCTTCAAGTTTGGTTATTGTGGATAGTATCAGCTTTGTTGTTAGCATTTGTGTAGTTTGTGCAGCTATATGATTCTGAGCATTTCAGCTTATAGTTTGCTAACTTTGGTTGTTATTGGTTTAGGCCATCTTGCAAGATGGGCTCATTTGTATTTATTGACCATTGGGGTGAGACCCCTCGGCTTGTATTTTGCTTTATTTGAATGAATTTATTTATCGTTTTGAAAAAAAAAGATTCTATAAGAATCTAGATTTTATTAGAGTCCATGACCCCAAAGAAAAAAAATCTTTAAAACCTTGCTAATTTTCTGCACTATTGTCTTAGATCTTCTCATTACATAACTAGGGATCGATTCAAGTTTACTGGAGACTAAGTCCGAGACTTTCTCAGAACATGAATCTCGTAATCTCGTGTTTAATAGAGACTGGGTCCAACAACTCTCTCATTGTCACGAATGGAGTTCGCTTGCAACCCTCTCACTACAACGACTCCATCTGCAAAGGTGTATAGCACAAAATGCATGTTGAAGTTTTTATTGAGGTATCACATTTGTAAACTCGACATCGAAGTTCAAATTTCACCTTTATCTTTCCTTACAATAATTCTATAAATAGGCTTTGTGGTTTATTACTTAGTATTCCTCTAAACATAAGGCATTCTCGCTAACGATCACCTTCTGACTTTTAGTACTACAATAATCCACTCATTTCTCATTACCATAAAGTATCCCACAAATGGCTAAATTGTCGAGCAACTTTTCCAATCCTATTAGTATCAACTTTCCAGCACATATGGCGAAAAGCTCTGAATCTGAGTATGTTCGTGACTAGGCCTACGCCTCGTCCATAATTCATTCAGAGTAATGACTACTAAGCTTAGATGGGACTATGTTCAGAACTTATCCTGCTATTTGTACAACTTCAATACGAAAAGTGAAATTCCTGATAACTCATCCTTGATGTATACAATCTACCTAAGAGACATTTTCCTTCGTTGTGTTACACCATTATATTCCGATGAACCAGGTGCAACCTGCTGAGATCAAATCTCAACAACCAATAAGTATTTCCATGTTTTTTCCAAAAGGTTTAGTCACTGCGATTTCGATCGTAATGCCATTGATATATTAACCTTGAAACAACCAATAAGTATTTTCATGGTTTTTCCAAAAGGTATCAGTCATTAGGATGTCGATTGTAATGTCTTTAATATATTGACATCGACATCTTTCCATAACAACCATCGTCCTCCCTCAAAGTACTCAAGCTTATGGAATGTCACTCAATGTACCTTGTCTTGAACAAATTTCTTGAAGAAAAATATTCAAGACTACCCTTTGTCCAAAAAATCATATGACTACACAAATTGGATGAATCAATCTTAACATTAATTTGGCTTCTAAATCCCTCTACCTTCAAAAGGTCATTTACGCGATTTTAGTTACCATGTATAATTCGTAGGTCTGATAGTTTCATCCATTCCCAAAGAAAATTCTCAAACACTAGATGCCAAAGTAATGTATGATTCATTATTGAAGGACCTTTCTTCTTAATGGTCCTAGTCGACGTGCTATTTATTTCATCTACTACACTGTGAGATATTTTGGCTCCTTGAGTTTACAAATTGTATACCCACGTACCAAATGGATAAAACATCTCGTTTTCACCATACACAATTTAGAAACTGAACACGATTTTTTCTAAAACTAGCACGTAAAGACA